GATTTTTCAAAATTTTTGATATTTGGTGGGATAAATGTTAAAAACCATAATTTTTATGGGTTTTTCATGGTTCTCATGGATTTCTTGTTCCGACCGCCATGTTTAAGTTACATATTCATGTTCAGAACACAAAAATACATAGAAATTGAGTGTTGTTATCCCTTATTTCATATGCGTGGGTTTTCCGAAGGTTTACCCAAGACGATATTCGAGAAGGGTGATACGCCAAATTGGACCACCGAAGTGTTTAAGATCGTTACAGTACAACGCACCAATCCCGTAACATATCTACTCGAGGATTATCACGGAGAACTCGTCGCAGGGACGTTCTACGAGTACGAGTTGCATCGCGCCACTAACCCAGATGTGTATCTTGTGAAAAAGGTACTGCGCAGGAAGGGTGACAAGGTTTATGTGAAATGGTTGGGATTTGATGGATCGCACAATTCATGGATAGACAAGAACAATGTGTTTTAATTTTTAAAGAATGTATTTATTCTATTAAACATGTATAAGAATATATTAAATACATATATACATATATACATATATAGTTGTGTCATTTATTTTACGTGTGAATATACTGGTAATAATTACTATTCTATAATGTACAATACTATGAATATATATATTGTGACGTTGCCGTCCCGCGAGCGCGTCCACCGGGTTCCTCCCTCAAGGCAACAGGCCGAGATTAGGGGAAACCGTGCCGCAGTCTCCAGAGAGGCGACCGTTATTCGGAAATTTCGACGTATTGCTGATTATTTTGTTTTTTTTGTTCCTATGAATGCGAGTGTGTGAGTGCGGATGGACGCGGGGGCGGAGGAAAGACGAGAGGCCCGGCTAACGGACAAATTCCGCGGCGAGCACGGTGGAGAGGCGTGCGGAGTGGGAACGGAGCGCGCGGAGTAGCGAGCCGGGAGGAAGGAGCCCAGGGCCCGTGGCACGATACCTGAGGGGCGTCAGCGGGGGAGCCGCTGCGACAGCCCTATCGAGGGAACGCGAGGAAATTTGGCGATACCGCGGGCACCTGCGCCTGGTCTAGACAATATCGCTGCCGGCGTTGTCGCGTGCCGTCGCGCGATTGGCCGCGGGGCACGCGCCTCGCGCGAGCATCCGCGGGGGGGGGGGCCCGAACTATCGATCCGCGATCGCGGAAAATTTGGAGTGAGCCTGTTGCCGGAGTTGTAAGAGTGAGGACCCCGGTCTGCCGCTACCGTTGCTTTCCCGCCGATTTGGGAGTTCCCGCGTGAGCCCAGGACGAGCCGTTGCCGCCTGCCGATCCCGGCAGAGCCGAGGTGCCGGTGAGATCCTCCTCCGTCCGTTTCGCGCCGTGTGATTGCGTCCGGGCCCGGGTTGCTCTGTCGCCGCCGGGAAAATTTCGCGCTTGGTGTCGCCCGGGCTACGGCCCGTCGGCTGTAGAGTTTCTTTGGTGTCCCGGTCGCGGCGACAAGCAACCGCGGTTACCCCGGAGCCTGCAGGGCACAGGTCTCGCGTGCGTCTGTGTGTGTGTGAGTGAGTGTCGGAGATTCGAGTCTCGCGATCGCGTGAATTCTGGTCCGCCGATCTGGAGATTCGCGGCGCGAGGGTTGCGTTGCGCGAGATCACGCGGGGTACGCCTGCCGCGGGAGTGTCGCGTGCATGTGTGGCGTGAAGGTGCGTCGCCGTAGAGTCCCGGCGATTGAGAGAGTGCGAACGAGGGGGTGAGTGTTTGCGATACCCCGTGCCGCTTCCGCCGCTGTCGGTGGCGGGTTTCGCGAGGACGGTGCGTCCGGAGCGGGA